TTAGTTTCTTTCTCTTTATTTTCTTTTTTCTTTTATAAATTTTTTTTTTAAATTTTTGTTATCCAATCAAAGCCGGGGGGGAAGAGCAGTGCCCCCCCCCCCCCTTGCCCCTACCTGCGGGCGCCTATGACCATGGGCCTGATTTTAAGATATGCCTGTCAGAGAAGATCTTGTGTGGTAAAGTGGTAGAGTGGACGCTTGACGATATTATATTTTGAGATCAATTGCCAGTAGGGGATCGAGTTTTTTTTTTCTTCCCATTTTAATTAAAAATTATTTTATTTTTAAATTATCATGTTCATTTGCACCAGTAGTTTCATGAAAAGTTTTTAAACATTTTGTAGCAATTTAAACAATTTAAATATATGTTATATTCAGATTATTAAGTGTTTCAACAAGTTGTGCCGGCCTTCGACTTTGAAAATACCTGTAATATTAGTAATAAGACATTAGAAAATAAACTGAAAGTTTCTGAAAGCGTATGTATAGTGTATGTAACTTGTATAAGAAAAACATTTTAAATACTAAGTGATATTTTATTGTATTTCAACATTCTTCGTGAAGTTGAATATTTACATTTTACTTTTACGAACACCCAAAGAAAATGCCAGTATATCAATAATATCATATGAATATTAATGTGCATGGTCGTATTTCAACCATCATGCTTTCACTGTGCATTGCATTGGCAAAATGTACACACGATATCAACAGTTCATTCACAGCCCTCAGTCTCACAGCAAATCTTTAGAAAACACCACGATTTTAGAAACTTACGGCACGGTAGCAATCTGTATAGCAAAGCCATAGGTCTGCTTTACTCTGTTTATGACGGAATTTGTTTCCAGAATGGCATGGCATGTGCTATTCTCAGGGTAAAACACAGCGTTTTCTCACAGAAACCATTGCAAAATGTGCTTGGGACAGCATTTGCGCTTTTTCAAAATTTTTTATTTGTTGTTTTTTTTGTTAAGAAATTGATCCTTGCAGGGGGGGGGGGTGAGTTATGGGCAGAGGCTTAACCAAAAAAGGGAGCTCTGGATGGGGGGTGTCCACAAAGGACGTCTGCCCAACAAACCGACCTTTTGCATCTTTCAAAATTTTTTATTTGTTGTTTTTTTTGTTAAGAAATCGATCCTTGCCGGGGGGGGGGGGTTGTGGAGGTGAGTTATGGGCAGAGGCTTAACCAAAAAAGGGAGCTCTGGATGGGGGTTGTCCACAAAGGACGTCTGCACAACAAACCTACCTTTTGCATCCCCCCACAACCCAGAGAGGGGGGGTGTTGATGTCCCCCGGCCTTGTTTTTACTAATATGTAATGCCAATGTAAAACTAATTCAATGATATTTAATTATTGTTAAAAGACTTTTAAAAATCACTGCAGTGTTTCGTATTGATCATCATACTGTTGTTTTGTGTTGACAATCGCTTGATATCACAATGCCAATGCCTTTGACAACTTTAACTTCACGGCTTCTTGATCAATGTATGTTATTCTCTTCCCATAATGTATTTGTGGCTTAATTATATCTTGGTGCTAACAAAATAGATACACTGGCTTCCCATTCATTTTTACACCACGCCCCAAGGGATCACATACAATGTTATAATTATAATGCCCTCCCCCCAAAAAAAAACCAAGGGGGGAGAATAATTTCAAATTAGCTACCCTTTTTATGCCTATAAAGATTCACAATCATAGAATAAAACTTACGACAATTTATAAATTTATTTTTATCTCAATATAAGGGGGGGGGGGGAAAAAAATTGGTTTATTTAAAAA